GACAGAGACAGAAAATTGTTTTCTATGTGTTTATTTAACACAGCTTAAAACTAGCAGCAGCTTATTACTCCATATTTGAACCATGCTCCTCTTAATAGGTCATGAACTGCTATATCTAACCTCTTTTTCTACTCACTGTTTAAAATTGATGGCAAATGTTGGAGTTCGACTATTCTTTTTTGATCACCCAGTAAGTAGTTGTCAGGCATCTGAATAATGGTTTCTGCATATGCATTACAATAATGATGCAGTAAAGTGTCTTGAAGCTGACGAGGCACAAAGTCTCTCCTGATACCAGTAGACCACAGCTCCCTCTTTCCTAACTGTCTCATTTAGTCCATTTCTTCAATGTTTAAGGCTTTTACCTAGTCCACAGGCTTATCCTTAACCTCACTTGCTGGACAACAATTCTTTTTTCCTTTTCTTCTGGATACAAAGGTCATCATTGTGTTCTCCCTTCTGTATTGCTTTTAAAAATACCACTGTTTCTTCCTTCTAACACTACCTGTATCATCCTTCCCTGTTTTTATTAGGCCAGCTAAGTGGGAGAGGTTGGAAGGGATATGGAGATGTGAGCTATATCTCTCTTTTCTTCTTAGACTGGCTTAAATTAACAGGGTTAGAATTTGGGGTCCTAAAATTTGAGGTTTTAAAAATCCCCTGGGAAATTTAAGAAGACCCACAGAGGTTTAGCTGAATCTTAAGATTAATGGCCTACATATTTTTTTAACTAAGCTGTTTATTGTCTGGAACTTGACTTATTTTACTGAAACTAGGGAGAAAAAGGAGGATAAAGACACACAAGAAAAGTATTTTTCCAGGTAGGTGAAAGTAATTTATATGTATGTATGTGTGGCTAAGCAGACGGATACATTATATCTATAACCTTTCACAGACACAGACAGGTTGGTTTGTATTTAAATGTAACTCAATAAAGGCATTTGGGGAACTAATTTTAGGCTGACAGTTTGCTTGTTTCAGGTCATTATGCTTTCAAAAAGCTAAAATCCTATTCCCAATATCCTGGCCTTGAAGCACAGCAGCCATAATATGCTAGTACGGTACGTAATGCTTGTGTCACTGTATGGCTGTCATAGCAAGAAAGAATTTTTTACAATTAAGTGCATTAAAATAATCATCTCTGGAAGTTCAGATTTCATGATATTAGACTCCACACCTGTACTGTTCGGTTCAAACCCTTCCTTTCTCTTTTTCTTTTTTCTTTTTTTTTTTGTATTATGCAAAAAGCAATTTTAATGCTAAATTTGCTTTTGATATGGTCCAATAACAATGCAAAATGGATGAAGTCTAATAAAATAACTCAGAGTTAAAGGCAAGTCTGAATTCTTGGCTTCACTATCATTTTACCTGGACTTGATAAATGACATTGCCTGCATAGGAGACAGTATGAGTTGTCATATTTTTCTAAGATCTTGTCTAGTGGAAAAGTTAATGTATTTTTTTTTCTTCTTCTGAATTTCTCAGTGTGGTAATTGCTATGTATTTTTTCATTTAATTTAATTTTATTCTTCTAGATGAGAACTTTTAAGTTGTTCTGTCAGGATGTCCTTTGATGCCAGGTGTATGTCAAATTTGTGGACACACACTTGGGTTAGAGACTCTATTCATACTTTGCACATTAACAAATGAATCACCTAGAAACCATATTATCAAATTTTCTTTGACAGCCTCAAATTCATTTACTTGACATTAGAGTCTGTTTTTTTCTCTAAAAAGCTTGCATGATTTTTCCTTTAATCTATCCATTTGCTATGAAAGAAGAATGTGAAGAATTTGAAGTAACTGATTTTTTATTCCCCCCCCCCCCCCCATCTCTGACTTCTTACTAGATATTTTGCAAAAAGTATTTTAGGTCTGTATTAACATTTGGATTTGGGGATTTTTTTTAGTTTTGGATACTTTTAAAGATTAAATATGTAAATTCAAGCAGACTAATAGAATCATGCTATATTGTAAGATATTTTTATTATTATTTTTTACAATTTAAAGTTTCAATAAAGAAATAAATTTACCTTGGTTGTGGGGAAATCATTTTGACAAATTCTTTACAAATCCTTGCAAAGAAAATGGGGAAGATGAGCTAAAAGAATTGTGAGTCACAGAGGTGACAGAATGTAGGCCTTTGGGCTGGGATATTAATTTTGTTCACAGTAGCTCTTAAGTTGCTGTGTTTTGGATTGGTGACCAAACCCATGCTAACAACATACCGATGTTTTAGCTTCTGCTGAACAGTGCTTACACGACATGAAAGCCTTTTGTATTTCTTGTGCTGCCCTGCTCTGAGTAAGCTAGTGGTGCACAAGAAGTTGGGAGGGGACACAGTCAGGACAGCTGATCCCAACTGACCAAAGGGATATTCCATAGCATACAGCATCATGCTGAGGAATAGAAGATGGGGAAATAGGAGAAGGTAGGACACACACACGCATGCACACATTCAGAGTTATGGCATTTTTCTCCCCAGGTAACTGTTCTGTGTGATGAAACCCTGCTTTCCTGGAGATGGCTGAACACCTGCCTGCTAATGGGAGGTGGTGAATGAATTCCTTGTTTTGCTTTGCTTGCATGAACACCCTTTGCTTGCCCTATGAAGTTGTCTTAACCCATAAGCTGTGTTGCATGGTCTTGGTGGAGGTTCACATTCTCAGGGTCAAGCTGATTACTGAACATCTTGTAAGAAAGAATTTTGTCTCACATAAGGCTGAAAACAATAATTATTTGTTTGTTTGTTTGTTTGTTTATTAGCTTTCTTTTCTATGGTTTCATGACCTACTTCCTTGAACTTTCAGGAACCACTTTGCCTTAAGGATCTGGACAATGCACTTCATGCCGTCTGTTCTCCCCCTGTGGGTTTGGAAGTTCTCCAGGTTTATGGTCTTTTGTTTTCAAGGTTTTGAATCTGACTTAGGGTGCTTTGTAACATGTTTTATAGCAGACATGAATGGCTATTCATTTGTGGATACAGAGTTTGCTTCCTGTCATGACAGCAACAGTAGAGAGAATGGACCACCAAAACAGTCAGTATGATCCCTGTATTCGTCTGGAAAAACAACCAGTTGCTGAGGTCAAATAAAAAGTGCAGAAATAGGAATGAGGTCAGTGATTAAGAAGAGGGCTGTTAAGGAGTGAAAGCAATCAGTGAGCCTAGAACCATTCAGTGCATGTAACCTGATTACATTAAGACTCCATTCCCACCAATGCCCTGCAGAAGTACAAATAGCTAAGATAAGACTAATAGTAACCCAGTGAGGGAAAACTGAGTTTAAGATATATGAACTTTCCTTGGTAGCTGCAATTACATCTACACAATACTTCAGCTCAGGGTAGAGCTGCCTAACACCACTGTTTCTCCAGGGGGTATATCCTTCAATTGCGTACATGACTAGAAGTAGGAATTAACCTACGTAAGTGTGAGATAGTTGGAGAGTATAATAGGAAAAATTGCACACATTACATTTTTTGTCTCAGAAACTGGATCCTTTTCCTCCAGCAAACCAAGACACCATACTCAATTCATGTGTGACTGCTCTTATGAGTATGTTGAAGAAAATTGTCCTTGTTTAATTGCTGTTTTTTCTACTAGTTTCTTTTGCACCAACGTTTCTGTGAAGAAATATTGCCTGCATTTCTTCTCGTGAAAGCTACTTCTCCTGCACGAGTTTAACATAAACTTTAGTATTATAAAGAAATTAATTACTATTCTAATCAGCTTGCTGGTGTCTATCTGATCCCTTTGGACTCATATATACTTCTAAGATAGCTTTTTTTTTCTTTACTATAAGCCAATCTTCCTTCATAACTTATGCACTCAGACCCTTAATCATTTTGCATGGCCTTTGCTGTGCCTTTTCATTATCAGCAATGTCCTTCCTATAATAAGTAGAGTTGATTCAGCTGATACTCATTAGATATGCTGTCTCCTCCAAATACCAAATGTTCCTGCAATATTCAGAGGAATTCCAGTGAATGTGCTATGGGAGATGAAAGTGAGAGAGGCAGCCATCTAATCTTCCAAACTTAAGTGTCATCTGGTTTTCAATGACTTTGAATATCAGTTTAGGTAGTTGTGAACTGGCTGTTATGCCTGGTTGTACACTGTGCTGACTTTATGTATGATCCTACCGCTTTCTAACACTTTCTCCTCAACATAATGTTAGAGAGGGGAGAAAATTCTGCATTTGCCTAAGATACAGTAATGTGAGTTAACGGAGCCCCTTCAGCCCCTTCAAACAGATTCCAGTTCACCATGTTAGGAGACAGATGGGGCACTGGTGGAAGCTTCTGAATATGCTGGCTTATTTCTCTGCCCATGGACTTGACCTGTAACTAAATTATATCTTGATTTGGTCTTGAATTTCATTAACAGTATGATCAACACTAAAAATATGATGTCAAATTATGGCCTCTGTAAATCTGATGGCTTTAAAAGAGCTGTGTGACAGGTAAATTAGTAGGGAATTTGGCTTAAGGAGACCAGAAGTGCACAATATTCCTAATGTAGTCTCATTACTGCCCTATTTAACAGAAAAAGACACTGATTATATATACAATGTAAATCCCAAGGCCTTTTCTGCTTCTGCCAAACACTGTAGAGAGGGATTTACTGCATTATCCATTATCACGTCCAAGTCTATTCTTGGTTTGTATTGTGCTTCATTTTAGGCTATAGTCTCTGTGGATAGTTTTGATCCTCCCTACTCTCATTACTTTACGCTTCTCTATGCTGAACTGCATAAGCCAATTATCAGACCATAAACCTCAGCTATCCAAAACATTTTGAATGTGTATGCTCTGTGCCTTTGTGGCTGCTGCCCTCCTCCTATTTTGTGCCATTATCAAACAAAGGCATATTTTAAATATTGTCATACACACCCCCCCAGCCTATTTCAGAGTAATTCTTAATTAGATAATGATTAATTAGATGTTTGCAAAGTACTTAAAAAAAACACAAAAAAAGCTATAGAAGTGCAAAGTATTAATATGCATCATTGCCAATGTTATTAATAATGAGCTTTGCTGCAACAACCCTGTCATTACTGTTCCTCATCTTGAATAGTCCGCTCCTTTCCAGCACAAACCATTTCCTCTTTACAAGCCAGCTTTTAATCCAATTCAGTGCATTTACCCTTTGTAATGTGCTCTCTGACTTAGTAAAAAAATCTCTCTGTAGTGTCACGTGGCACCAGGAGCAGTTGTGAAATGCAGACAGATTATATGACCGTCCTTTTTCCCCTGCATTAACAATCCAACAATGTGCTCAAAGAATTCAAGCCAAATTGGCACACATGGTTTTCTTTTCAAGAATCCATGTAGTATCACCCTTACCAGGGGGTTGCACTATATTGTGAGTACCCCTGTTGTGCAGAAAAAAATGCAGAGAACAAGACTGCTGACCTCGTCAGATGAAACTCAGTAGGAATGCAGAAGATTGTCTTGGTTAGTTTCAGATGGTGAATTAAAAGAGAGAAGAGAGGGAAGGCATGCCTAAATGGGACCATGCTCTTTTCCATGATAATGCCCTGTTAGACTCCAAGACATCACCTAGCTCTAAGTTTACAGAGGTCCTGAGTTTTAAAGGAAAAAATCTGCTAAATGTCAGTAAACTAGTTCTAAGCCTAAAGCTTTCTAAACTGTAAGTAGCCTTTTCAGCTGAAAATTATGCTTTCAGTTAACACAACTGATGCAAATACAGTCACTTGGCAGTCTCTGCTCATCTACATCTGTTAGAACAGTGTGAGATCTGCTTGCCTGTTGGTCAGAGCCTTGCTCCAACATTCAGGTTCCAGGCAATTGTAAGTCTACATGGGCAGACTTGAAAACACTATGGAAAAATTCGCTTTTCTTCAGGAAGTCCCTTCACTGTGCCAACTGAACAACACTGGCAACATATGCCAGCTACAGTCAATTACACTAGCTTATACTAATATGACATGCAGAAATAAAGGCAGGCAAAAGAGTCCATGGCTCTCAGTAGCTGCCAAAAATTAAAGCTGCATTGCCCTAGGTGCTGCAAAGCCCATAAAGAGCACATGGGGGTATAAGCATTAGAGCCAGATGGAAAGAAGAAATATTGAAACGGTTAATAAAAGAAATTGAAATTTGGAACTTGTCCCAAGAAACAGCTGACAAACTACCAGCCCAGAGCTCTGTGGTAGTCAGCAGCAGCCCTATAGCACAGAGGAGTAGAGAATAAGATCTATAGTCAATAGCCTTTATGTCTAGGAAAAGATCCTGAATGGGACTGTGCATAGTGCAGTTATAGCTTTTCCTAGCAGGATAGCCATCTGACTCCTAGTCCACAGTCAAAGCTGAGACAAAAATAAATAGGAACCCCCCCTATAGCTATGTGATATAAATCCAATAAAGTTAGGTACATTTTCTGAAATGAAAGTTGCTTTGCTTTTATGCTGCTGACCTTCCTAAGGCTAAATACATAATCAGTGATTCTACTGTTTTCCATGTTCCTTTTGTTTGTCCTAGTACATGTCAGTTTCTGCAGAATTGAGTCATAGTTCCCTATATTTAATAGTCACTTTTAACACTAGATGTCCTTTTAAAGACATTTTTAAAGACACACGTATGTTTGAGAAAATGCCCTATAGGTGTGTCCTGCTTTGACTGGGATAGAGTTAAATTTCTTCATAGTAGCTAGTGTGAGGCAATGTTTTGGATTTGTGCTGGAAACAAGGTTGATAACACAGGGACGTTTTAGTTGCTGCTGAGCAGTGCTTGCACAGAGTCAAGGCCTTTTCTGCTCCTCACCCCACCCCACCAGTGAGCAGGCTGAAGGTGCAAAAGGAGTTGGGAGGGAGCATAGCCAGGCGAGCTGACTGCAACTGACCCAAGGAGTATCTCATAGCATATGGTATCATGCTCGGCATATAAAGCTGAGGAAGAATAAAGAGGGGGATAGTGTCAGTGAAGGCATTTATTTTCCCAAATAACTGTTGTGTGTGATGGAACCCTTCTTTCCTGAGGATAACTGAACACCTGCCTACTGATGGGAAGCGAAGAATGAATTCCTTGTTTTGCTTTGCTTGTATTCACAGCTTTTGTTTTACCTATTAAACTGTTTTTATCTCAACCCATGAATTTTCTCTTTTATTCTTCAAATTCTCTCCACAGTCCCACTGTGGGGGAGCAAGAGGCTCTGTGGGCTTTAGTTGCCAGCTGGGGTTAAGCTATGACAACATGTTAGAAACAGCTTTCAAATGAATTTGTAGGTATCAACATGTGATGACCATTAAAAAGCACCTAATACAGATGTTCCAGGAGAATGAACATCTGTGGAAGCTAAGCTTAGTGCATAGGATACACCTCCAAACCATAGTCATAGTTTCAACTGTTTCATCTTCTAACTTCTAAGGACTGAGTCTGGGCTAGGTTGCTGATGTTCATTCCTGCGCCGTTCTCATAACATTTTAAAAAGAAAGCCTCGGTCTCAGTTGTAGACCTTCTCAATAAACAGAAAATATTATTTTAAAGACTAACTGGTTATGCAGGGTTTCAGAAAGACACATCTCATGTTTTACTGGTGACGTTTAGTGGTGGTGATAAAGCCATCTGAGCTTTCAACCAGTAAAAGCTGTCTGGTCTCTACAAACATGTCTCCCTTATTTGTTTAAAAATGTGCCATGAAAACAACACTTTGCTGCTGCTGATTGCAGTAGGCTACATTGCTTTCTTCTGGGAGCTCCATAGGAATAAATATCACAGAAGGAGATGTGCTGAGGTCAGCCATTGTATCCAGGATAGTAGCAGCAGCACAATCTGAGCCTCTGCCTAGGTCTTCCTCTATAAAAAATTTATAAAAAGATAAAAGGGAGCTTAATGAATAAGAATTTCAAGCTGTGGAGATCTTCAGCAAAAACTGGTTTTTGCTGGACTTCTCTATGTTACCAAAAAGCAACAGATAAAAAATGTGCAAGTGCAGGTATGTGCATCAACCTGAGTGGTGTTTGCAACCTGCAGTGGTGAAGAGACACTTGTGTTTGTCTCAAAACAACTCAAAAGAAAAAAGGAACTGACAGCTCGTTATCTCTCCGGCAGACGGCCAGGGGAGCAGAACAGGGATCGGCTCCTCCAAGGTGGAGGTGATGCTTCCCTGTGTTGTCTGCCCTGACGTCATGAAGATCAACTGCCCTGCAAGGAACTGCCCAGAGACAGTGGCACAGAAACCGTGGTGCCTGCCTGGGCACAACGTGAGCTGGCTCTGGGGCTCACCAGATCCCCTGTGGATGAATCTCACCCGGGGGAAGTTTTTGGGAGAGCCTGGCCCTAAAAAAGGTAAAACTGTCCTTCAGCTGTGTGGTGTGCATCTTGGACCACAGTGGATTCTCTGATTACAGGGACTACAGCTGAAAGGGCTTCCACTTGCTGACCAAAATGTGGACTGGATCCATGGGGTGGTGAGCCTATATTTCTGTTTTCTATCTTACTTTCTTCTGTTTCTCCTTCTATTTCGGATCTTTTATAATAATAAGAATTTGCCAAAACTTTTGTTCTTCCTGACACAATTTAGGGAATTTTATGATAAAATTAATTGTCTCATTTTTTCAGTCTCTGGAGGGCCTGGGGTTTCTCCTGTGGGCCGTGCAGAGTGGTAAAGGATCTGCTTCTGGTCCCACCAGACAGGAAGGGACACAACCCACTCCAAAACCAGCTGTGAGTGACCTGCGTCTGGAGCAAATCTATCAGTCTTTAAAAGTCAGACTCTTTATGCCTCAGCTTTATTTTTTTTGCATTTTATAGGTTCTATTCTGCTCTGTATCTATACACGTAAAATCTCCTACTATGCCCTTGTGGCCTCTTCTTATGATCTTTTCACCGTTTGTTTAACCAATCAGTTTCCAGTTTACTTGCGGTTTCTGCCCAGGTAGCGATTGGCATATTCCCTCTAGTTTTTTGAATGAGGCCAAATTCAGGGTGACTCCAGTTCTAGAGGGAATGGGAGAAGGGAGCCTGTTAGCATCACTTGCAGAACTAAGAGTTAAGAAGAGGGTGTTTTACCTACTCCTCAGTTAGTTACCTTACCCTCTATTTACGCCCTACAGCCACTGGGGCACCATAAAGAGACCAGAAGGCAACAAGGGCCAATTCTGCAGCAGCATAGTTGAAGTAAATCAGTGCCAATGTACTTCAGGGAAAATACACTGGCCTTATTTTGTTCAGTGTTTTAGATACAGACTAAGAATTCATCCTGTGAGCTTCTGCTTTGTGAAAAAAGAACATTCTTCAAGGGTCACTTAGAAATGTTGGCATCTATTTGCAAAAATACAAAAAAGTTTAAACTAATGGAGTCATAGAGGAGCTCAGAGACACCTCCTGTGAGTCAGTGGGGTCCATCTCTACCAGAATTTTATATTTTTAGTAACATTTTTCCAAGGCTCACTTGCCTCTTTTACTAAGTGTGGATGGTAAGCAGCGGCACCAAGGAGTATACACCATACAGGAGACACACAGTACCTATATATCAGCTTTCAGAAGGCATTTCCTTGGTTATTCCCTATCTTGAAGAAATGGATATGGGGCAACTTAAGCTCTTTAGCAGAATGCTAGGAGGTCCCAATAGCACATATTGTGAGATGTTCAAGATGTGAATGCTGAGATCTCATTATGCAAGTGTGTACTTCAGCCCTACTTTTTATGATGACATTGAGTGAAGCAGATATATATATTTTTTAATTAAAAATAATTTAAAAAAAGGTTCAGTAAATGTGCTGCAGAGTTCTTGGGCATTTGTGTAGCTCTTGCAGATTTTGCAGGCTATCCTTGAACTTGCAGAGACAAGTACATGACAACTCAGGCTGAGTGTGAAATCTGGTAGGTACACAGGAGAAACCTTATGAAGCACCTTGAAGCTAATGGACAACTTTTCAGTTTCTGATAACAACTGAAAAGTCTTATCTTGTTAGTATTATCTTGAAGAAGTAATGAATCACATATACTGTTTTTTTCTGCATGCTACTTTTTTCTTAACCCTCCCTTGTATATTTTTATCCCCCCCTTCCCTGCCAAGTTCACTGCAATATTTTCCATTGAGATACAAACACATAGAAAACATAAAAGTCACTACTGCTTGAAAGTATCTGAAATAATATAAAAGCTGTGTTTCAAACCATGAGAGTGATGTTTTCATACCAGGAAAAGTAGTACTGCATGTCCTGGTTTGTAGCATGAGGTCATGTGGAAATATCTGAGGATGCAAAGTCTACAGGGGACATGTAGCAAACTCTGAAAGAAAAAGGAGCCAAACTTGGTGCGGTTTGCTTCTTATTGAAAGTAAAAAAAAAAAATAAATCTCTATCATGTGTTAGCTTCTGATCGATGCCTGTGCTCTACTTGAAAGAATGCTAGCTCACAAAAGCATGATGAGAGTTTAATGCTCTGGACAATCAATTACTACTGCTTAAGTGTAGACCCTGTTTTTCTGTCTTCACTTATTTCTAGTAGCAGGAAAAACAGTAGTAGTATCCATTTTAATATTAGGTATAGCAGTGGAAATTATTCTGCTCTTTTGGGATTAATACTGTTGGGATCTTTTTTTTGCTAATGACCTTGAATTTAGACCAGCATTTTGAAACTTGAAGCCAGAATTTAAAATCTAAGTTTATCTGCTTAACTAATCAAAGCTTGCATCTGTACCACTGAGTTTAGGCAAACCTTAAAGTCTCTGTAAATTAATTGAACTCTATCTTAAAAAGAAAAAAAAAACAACAAAAAAAAAACATAGGTGATCCCTTTATTTGAATAAAGTGAATTTAAGAAGTGATGATTAGCTCTTAACGTTGTTTTTTTTCTTGCTCATATTCGACAACTATTCTTCAATTATTTCTTTCTGGCATTAAAGAAAACATTTCCTCAGAAATCAGAATACAGGAAAAAAAGGGTAAAAAAAGCTCTGGGATCACAGCTGATATTTCCAAATTAGACAACATAACTGGGTTCATTAGATATGAAGTATGTAGAATAGATATGATACGGGTCTCTTGAAGGAAAAAGGCTTCCTGCTGCTTTCTTGCACTTTCGGGCTATGCAAAGTGAAAAAAAAAATTACCACTGAATAAGAACATGCATATTGATAGCTCCTGTGTCATAGACAATGCATAATATTTTGATTGTCATAGTAATTTGACTGTTTAAACTTTCAAACATCCACAATACGTCAAATATTTTGCTTACATGCAATTGTTATGTTTCTTTGAACAATACATTGCATGTTTTCCTCTAGGTTCTCTTTTGAAAGGTGTGAAGGCCCCTTCTCCTTGCTAAATAAGAAATGTTTGTAAAGCTACAAATTTAATGACAAAAATCTCACAAAATATTTTAGTTCGGCTTAGAAGAAAGTATACTAGATTAATTTTTCTGTCACTTTTGACCTATTCTGATTGTTATCCAAATAATAAACAAAATACACAATAATGTATTTGTGTATAAAAATTATTTTAGGCAGCAGCTTCAAACAAAGTAAACATTCCCCGATATTTTTTTAAAGGAAAATAATGACATTATCGTGACCTATTCAATGGGAAAAAAAGATTAAATTTTAAGTTATTTTAATAAAAAAATTCTAGTTCCCTAAATTTTTGTCACCCAGTTTAATATTGTGAATATTTCCTTTGTTGAGCTACCAATGGTTGGGATTTTACATGGTAATGAATAATCTAGTTTCTATTCCTCATTATGAAAGCAAAATAGCTTTCATAAAGAGGTCTTATAGTATGGACAAAGAGAACACTCAAAAGAACATTTAAAACCGTGCTGGATGTGGTTCTGGGCAACCTGATCTAGTTGAAGATGTTCCTGCTCATTGCAGGGGGATTGAACTAGATGACCTTTGAGGGTCCCTTCTAACACAAACTATTCTATGGTTCTATGATTTATATACAACAAGAATACAATCTGAATGTTCTGTCTGAATGGGATAACACAATTTCAGATAATAGGGTTGCCTTCATCTCCCTTAATTTCATCCATACAGAAATTAGCTATCTATTCAGAGGTAATTGTCTAGCTTCTGTCTGCTGTCATTGTAGCCAGAGAGGAAGCAGAAGGGACCTGCAGGCAATTATGTGTTTTTTTTTTTTTTATAAAAGCACTGCTTGAAAATTATTAGTTAAACTGAAAAAGAGAGATTACAGCAATTTCTAAGATATTCAAAGAAAAGGGCATTTGGTTGTGCTGAAGGATGTAATGGTCTCAAAGTGCTGTTGATGTTTCTTGTGGACTGTTTTTCAGATTCACCTTATTTAATATTTTAACTAATGTCTGCAAAAAAATTTAGAGGTTGCTAAAAATGGGATGATGACAATAAATAGGTGTTGCAATACATAGGAAGATAAAAATCTCTCAGAACTAGTTGACCTTGAGACCTTTGTGTAATAGAAAGGGTCTGACTATAAGTGTACAATGGAAATTAAAGTCTACCTGTAGCAAGAGCTTTCTTGTGAAAACCAGAGGCCCATCTGCAAGAATTAGCAAAGGAAAGGAAGATTCTGGGAGCACAAGACTATTTTAGAATGACTGAATGACCATGAATGTATGATGAATCCACGAAAAAGTTAAATGCATTCTTTTTATGCGTCAGTAGAAACATTTCCAAATATTGCAGAGAAGTATATTGACATTGGAAACTACCACATGAAGCTCCATCTGGAATTACGTTCAGTTCTATAGTTGATCATAACAAAGGTTAGATTTACACTCAAAAGAAACTAAAACTGATGCCTGACGTTGCTTAAAAGACAAATAATTTCTCATGGGGCCTAGATAAATTCAATCTAGATAATAGCAGAAATATTTTAACCGCCAGAGACATGAAGTTCTCAAGTAGCCTTCCCATAGGATCAATAAGAATAAAAATGTGAAATAATTTCATAATGGAATTTATTACATTTTTAATGAGATTATATGACATGGTCACCTGAACAGGAAGATGATTCAAAATTTTAGAGATCTCTTCCACTTCTGTGTATTGTCCCTAGATGCTTGTAGTGTGGGTTATGCTTCATTAGAAGAAGTGGAAATATTCTAAATGTTGTAGACTACTTCTCCCATGAAGGAAAGATACACTAGAGACTTCTCTCCTGTTTTTTTTTGACAAACACGCTATATTCAGCATGGTTAAATATAGCTGTTTGTCAGATAGGTTACCTGTGGCTTCTGTGGAAAGAGGTACTCTAAGGAAAAAAAAGTAATTGGGTAGAAACATTTTGGTTTAGAAAATAATAAAAATATCCAGAGGTGTGGGTTACATAGTGGAGTGGATTAAGTTGAATTTCTCCTCTTATGCTCAATTGTGTTGCATTTTTTTTTTTTTTTTTGGTTTTTTTTTTTTTTTAGCATGCTAAATTTTGAACCCAGAGTTTGAAAGGGAAGCTATTTTCCTCCACCTACAATCTCCTATTGGAATGTATGGCAGGAAGGTCAAGGAGACTTAATCCTGCTGCTGGAAGATTAGGAATTTATTCTGCTACAAATGTTTGATTTGTTCATCCATTTTATAGATGTTATCTAAAATACAGATAAAAAATAATTGTTTGCAATGAAGCTTAAAAAAACCAAGCCTTTATTCTCACGGAAATTAATTGTTGCAAGTTTTCTGCATGTGAAAGGGAGAGAGAGAAAACCAGTATTTCTTGCAAATGTTTTAATCTATGAGAGTTCCAACTAGCCAGGAGTTCCAAGCAGCCAGATGTTCCAAAAAGCAATTGCATAAATAAACAATAGCCTTCTAAAATAAGGCATAAGTAATTCAATTGAGCTATGGGAAATCCAATCCAAGTTTTGTGCTAATGAGGAACTGTCATAAATATTCACATTTTCTTAGCATTAGCCTTAAAATTTGCTACCTATAGGTATGGAGATGGATGAAGAATCTTACACTTAAACCTTCACTGCAGAGTAATCAAGAAGGAAAGAAAGAAACTTAGCTCACCCAGGTACATTTTTATTGAGCAGCCACTAGCAACAATTGTTGCAGGAACATCATTGATCTTGGGCAGACAGACTGAGAAGTCAGAAATAGACCAATATAAAAAGTAGAGCAGTAGAAATATACAGTGAATGGCTATGCTGGCAGGATATGCTGTTACTGTGATAGGAGCTCTGAGGGTGCCTATTTATTATTTGTATACGATATCATGAGGACAGAGTTCATAGAAATTAAATTTAGCAAGACCAGAAAAGTATTCTATTTCTGCATCTGTACTGCTGAGGCCAGCAGCTAAAATAATATCTTTTCCTTGACCCTGTACATTCTGTAAATGGTTTATGAATGGGAATTATAAAGACTCCCTGTTTTGCATGAACATTCACTCCCTTTGTTTGTACACAGAAAAAATGGTGATGGACTATCATTATCCAAATTGATAGCAGCTGTGCTTAGTAAAAAAATGTTTCCCTCAAATCTGTTGACAAGTCAGTGGTAATAAAAAAATAAAATGTCATGTGGTACACTGAAACTCCTGAATTACTTGTCACAGCCCATTTTAAATGTGGACTGCATTCAATCCAAGGAACTTTCTGTAAAATTAATACATTTGCTAGGTCCTTTAGTACAGATTCTACTCTCCTAAGAGGAGATATTTTGAAGATAACCTTAAAAATCTAAATATTTAACTTTATTTTACATTTGCATAATTTAATTAGAAGCTTCCTTTTAGTCTTTTTCTTCTTTTTTTTTTTCTCATAAATTTCAAGTTTTCTACCATTTTATTCTTTGAAACTAATGTACTGCCATATTAATTCACCCAGGGAACAAACCACTAACTCCTTCTGTAGTACCAAGTGACTGGAAATTTGTTTATACTGTATTTTGCAAGAGGAAACAAACCAGCTCTTGCAGTCAAAATTGGCTGGAACTGATGTGAATAAAGTATTGGGTCAGGTGCTAGCTAATAAGGTGCATTAAGTGCTGCTAGCTTGTGTGTGATGCCAGGCTAATCACAATCATGGCTTCAGTAGTTGCTATCTACTCCCTGTCGGAGGCCACCTGCAAAATATCGCACCCTAAAAAAAGCACCTAGCACTGCTTGTAAGGATTTGCAGTGAGGAGTTGTTTACTAAAGCTTAATATGAATATTTGATCTTGTATTTTGAAGTTTGCAGTTGCAGTCACAATCTGTTAAATTTCATACCTACCTTTCTTTATGGTCACAAACTTCGGTTTCTGGTGAGATGCAGACATGGCCAGAAGCAAAAAGCAAATGCTGGAGAGGTTTCTTAGAGGACATGTTGCAGTCTCACAGGAAGTGTAATACTACTTTGCAGTTCAAAAAGTATGCAATTTCTCAAGAAATTAGTGCCTACGACGTAGGGAAAACCCCTTCCTGTTTGGGTGTCATATGATGGCATGTCAAGTTTGATTGCATGGTGCTGACAGACAGCAAGTGTAATTGAGACCTTTTTCCTAATGATGGTATGGACATAGGCAGTTGTATGTCCTTTCTTGAGGCAGCTTACAGTCCCAGTTGAACAGACAAGGAGACCGCAGGGAGATGAAATAACTTACTGTTGTTCAAGGCCTGAGCCAGATTTAATGCAATTCTTCTAAACCTCAGTGCAGTGACTTGTCTAGTACATCACTTTACCTTATGTTCTCAACAGAAAGCAAAATAAACGTACAGAATCAAGTGTTATAGATAAGAGAGACTCTAAAACGAGGAGATCAGAGACAGGCAAAAGCCACTAGATACCTAAGTTCAAAACAGGGAGCACTGTGGAAATACAGAAGGTCACAAGCAGCAACAGAAAGAAAGGAAACTTATTGTAAGACAGCAAATAGTGTGTGTGTTTCCTGTTCTGAGAACAAAATACCTGTCTGCTGGCTGTGCTTTCAGAGGTTTAAAACCTCAAGTAACAGAAGGCGCCATAAAGCCAATTTCACTGGTCACATCATGACAGACTGGCCAAGTTCTCCCTTCACATGCTTGGAAACTGACTCCCTGCTCCTGGAGCAAAATCAGGGGATGAGGTCACTCATTACCTGATTTCTATGGCAATAGAAGGCACTTAAGCCTCTCATCTGCTCCTCCTGCTTCTCCCATTTTTCTGGGGAACTGAATTTTCTGGCTGTGGGTTTATACTCCAGTTGAGGCCAACATTACTTCTGATGTGTGCTGGTTTTGGATGGGATATAATTAATTTCTTTCAGAGTAGGCAGTACAGGGCCATGAAAAATTAAGAGGCTCCTTTAGAAACAGAGATATGAAAAAATCAGGAGAATGGAGTTTTCTTTCATTAAGTATTTGAAAACAGAAAGGAGGTAGTTTTGAAGGAAGCGGATTGAAGGCAGAGGTTACCTATTTTTGTCATGAGAATGCAAAGTATAAAGATATATGTAGAAAGCGCAATTGTCAGTCACTTTCGCATGGCAGATACTATATGCAGCAATAAGTGAGACAAACAGGCACTGAACAGGGCTTTATGGCAAGCAGTTTTGGCTCAGCTGTACCTCTGCCTCTCAGGGTGTCTCCCATTAGTCACTCAGCTGATGAATTTGCTCAGCAGTGGTGGCAGTTTCTAGAAAAGAAGAAACAGCTCTCCAAAGATTCAGCAGTTTGGTTTAAATAAATTTCCTCTCCCATGCCTGCTCCATGCTGGGCTCCTGTTTCTCTCTCAGAAGCTGTTGACTGTTTCATGAATGTCCTCTCCTTCATGTTAACCATCCCCATCCATCCTTGGAGGCAGCTGGAGCCAAACAGCACCACGTTTTCATAGCTATGTCATGGAAAGATATTGAACTTCCAGAACCTGCAGAATTTAACCTAAACCTAGAGGCCACCAAATTTTTTGTTCAGGATTCAGAAGTATTCATCAATTTCTTGGGATTCAGAAATTTTGAATTCAAGTCTGGTATCTCCCTGGAGGTTATGGTCTGGTGTGGCTGGCATGGTTACCTGGTAGGTGTGGCCTCATCTGCATGAACTGGTTCTGCATGAGCTATAACCAATAGGCTGCTAGCGCTAAAAATGGTACAGAAAAGCTCAGGCTGTCTGTCCTAGAGCCTGCTTGCATCTGCAATCTGCATAACTTCATTGCATGGTGTTTTTCTCAGTAAATTGACCTGGTCATGAATACTTTCTGGGTGAGTTGGCAGCAGTTTGGGAAGCTCTGCACTACTTTCTGCGATTTGTTATAGGCACTGTTTTCCCCTTTTGAAAGTAGAGGTAATGTTACTTGCAAAAAAGTGTTGAGATTTGTGCTGAGATGTAAATTCAAGGTAATATTGCAATTCCTTCCAAACTCTGAAACAGGGCCATGTGAATTGTTTCTTCAGCTGAACTGTGAGATTTAAGTCTATTTTTGTGACTGGCAAACACTAATCCCTCACATTACATTATGATTTTTCCATTTGACCTTTACATGGCACTTGATGAAGTAAACTATTATATAATTATTGTAGTGAAAGGCAGTGTGTTTGCCCACTTTTAGAAATTTCTGAAATGTTAATATATGGAGCTATTGCTGCAGCTGTCTCAAATGTGCCTGTCCTGTGTATGGCATGTACTGGATGCTCCAATTAAGCCCATTTTCATTTAGTCAGTGGAAAAAAATAAAAATCAAAATCAAAATTGCTTTTTGCACCACGTAGGCTTTTAAACTGGGATGGAGAAAATGAGGAAGCAGAGGAAGAACAAGTGTGTTATCTTCAGCAGCAGACTAAGAATAAGCATTTTTTTTGTGTGGAACATCATTGATATCAGCCACAGTATTAAAACTAGACCTTAATGCTACTCACTGGGTTTTTGTCACAACCTAGTAGTGGGATCTGCAGATGTCGTTGGAGTTGCACAGCTGAGGTATGATGAAGTGTTTTCTTCAAATATAGTGGCTTCCACTGGGATCTGGATAGCTAATGGGTTTGAAGAGTTTTCCCTAGAGGTTGTCAGCCGCGTCTGAACACATTAAAATGAGAGAACAGTTCAGTGGCTTATGTAAAATGAGATGGTGGCATAAATCCAACAGTTCAGTACACAGGTATCTCCATCTACATGCTAATACTGGAGATTTAGGCTTTTTGTGCCAGTTAAACAATTCACAATGCAGAGAGGCCACATACTACCAAGGACTGCAGGACTCCAGTTTTCTAATTCTCACTGCAGTGTGGACCTCATTTTTCTAGGATGTGCTCTACTTGTATAAAAATATTTATATGTTACTAAAGAAGAGATGGGAAACTATGCATCTCTCACAGAAATTGATTCCCACACTGGGACACAGAGAATTTATGCTGGTCCAGGGTACCCCAAATTCTCCCATACCAGGTAAAAACAGTTTCAAGAGATGGGACTGAGAGACTACTCTGCTTCCTGGCCATTATGACATACAACATGAATACAGAAACCCCTGAGAACTAGGATCACAAGCACCATCATAGCTGCTTTCAATCCCAGCTGCAATCTTATTGAAAAGGCCAAACTTCAATATCTTCAGAGGGAAAATCAGGAGGCTTTTATGGGTTGGAATGAAAAATACATATTATTACAGCTTTGTCAAGAATTCTATAGGAAAGATATAATTGACCATATATGTTTTACAATATACCTAAAGTTCTTCATTAAATTTCTAGGGTTTTCCATAAGGGCTTGGCTGGAGTCTGGAAATGTTAAATCACCTTACTCGTGAAATGCCTCCTTCACTGCACAGACAGATGCTTGGGGAAGCTTCCTCTCATGCAGATATATGGACCTCACTATTTTACTGAGTTAAAAAATAAGTGTCATTATAGGCATGATAACCAAGTAAAGTTTTGTAAGAAAGATAATACTGTTTATTAGCAGGAATCTTCAAGATAAGTACAGGTTCAGGAGCCACTGTTCTGAATTTAACTTATTGATAAATAGATGTTCAGTAAATATTATGCCTCCTTTTCTAGCTCCACAGGTACCAACTGTTTTTTCTCTCAATTGTTTTAACCAATTAATAAGATCAAGTTGAATTCAAAGCAGTTGTTTTCTACCTGTATTTACCTTGAAGGCTGGTTCAAAACTGGGAAAGGTAAACATGCTTCAAAACTTGACTTCCCCCCCCCCCCCCAAACTTCTGCAGTTAGTTGATAAATTTAAAATGTGAACAAAACCCCCTGCCCCGGGTTTAGCAGTAGCAGTCATTTTTCTCCTTCTTAGTAGCAGGTACAGTGCTGTGTTTTGACTTTCAGCCTGGGAACAGAGCTGATAACACCGATATTTACTCTGACCAAGGACTTTGTGAGTCTCATGCTCTGCCAGGGAGGAGGGGAAGCTGGGAGGAAGCAGAGACAGGACACCTGACCCAAACTGTCCAAAGAGGTATTCCATACCACAGCACGACAGCACGACATGCCCGGGGAGGTAACTGGAAGCGCACTCTCTGCTCGGTCAGGCTTGCTTTGGCGTGTGGTATCGTATTCTCTTCCCTTGTTATTTCCCTTATCATTATTATTATTGGTGGTAGCAGTAGTGATTTGTGTTATACCTTAGTTACTAAACTGTTCTTATCTCAACCCGTGGGAGTTCCATTCTTTTTGATTCTCCTCCCCATCCCTCCAGGAGGCGGGGGGGGGGGGGGGGGTATGTGGAAAGAAAGAGGGGGGAGGAGTAGAAACTGTGCAGCTGTCTGGGTTTAAACCACGACAATCCCCTCCTTGCAAACCATACCTAACGTTTTTCCCTTTTTTTTTTCTTTCCCATTTTTTTTTCACATGTACCACTTTAAGAAGAATGAAAATGCATTTTACTGCCCTCAGAGTAAGGTCAAAAGCAGCCTCACACTTACTCCATTGACAGAGTCATCTTTCTGACTCTGACCCTATAGAAGCAAACCATTTCTGAGATGTATTGTGTTTACAGGGCTTTTGGAGAAGTGTTGAGACATATTGTGTAACTGCCATTTCATTGAAACATGCAACTGTCATGTTATGCAGCAAATAATGAAGCGCATTACTGGCATGGCCTTGAGATATGTTTTAATTTTTTTCCTTGTTTTCTAAGGGAATGTCTTCAAACTGATTGACAGTGAAGCAAAAGGATTTAGCAAGTTTGGAACTTGCTGGAACTTAATTTTCTATGATCTCAACAGAGACTGAGTCCCTTTATTATTAATGCTCTCTTTTCAAATCACTGACTAAAAACTCATCCATTCCATTTGCCCTACCAGCTATAATATCACTATCTCTTAGCTGTTCTGAATGTATGTGTATATATATAATATTATGGCTCAATGACTTTTCAGGATATGGCTCTAATTTTGAGGGAAATGAATTACTCCTTTAAAGCACAACTAGTATTCTGCAGAGAAGTGAGAGCTCTATTTTTGTTAAGTGCTTAAAATAAATCAAAACAATAACATTTTAATGTTTGCATTGACCTGAAAATAAAAATAAATTTTCAATTAATTGAAGCTGTAGGAAGAGGAACAGTGAAAAGGGAAGAGTCATTCCATACCTTGCTTCATTGGATAAATACTTTACAGTAAATAGAGTCGAAGAAATTGGGAAAATCCCAATCTCAGTTTTGACTTGCATTTAATCATGAAGGTGGTAAACAGGAAAAATCATTGATTCAGGCTGGCAGACAGTTTAAATGAGTGTCTTAATTGTATAATAGAGCATATAAAGTCTTTTTATTCAGTCCTTACTGGCCTTGTGAAAGCCATGTAAAGCCTATGGCTAATCTGGCCTGAAAAAGCAAAACATTTAGGGAATATTAAAATAAATCATATTGACATTTTCAGAAAAGCAGTGTCTGTTTTTAACTGAGTTGGAACTATTTGCTAAACTTAATGTTTAGTTTCATCTTAGTCCAAACCTGATTTTTTTTTGTGATAAATCCATCCAAACTACTGCCAGACATTCTTTCAAGCTTACATCTATCTAGTTCTATCGATTACTTGCCCCATTCACATAACCTTACTCATCAGTAATCAAAATCAAGGATTTTGTGCTCTAATTCTAGGCAATGTGCATGTGAAAGGTGACATCTTCCCCAGAAGACATTATGATTTTATCTGGGAGTTGAGGAATAGTTGATAGAACAGACAGATTAAGGGAGAAGGAAACAAAATGTGATTAATATTAGTGTAATAAACAGTGATTAAAGCACAGGAAGTTTTTTCACATGTTAGAACATATCCCAGCAGAGATGATATTTAAAGACATCTGCACACCTACTCTATAGGTGTCCCATAGTTCTGCTCAAAGGCAGGGCCAGGACTAAAACGTCCACATTCTCTGGCTCTGACTAAGCCAGGTTTGGCATCTCTCCCGCTGCAGGGATGAAGAGAGAACAGACCCCTTTCCAGGGCTATGAGTCCCACCGGCTGTGGGACAGCTGTGGGTGCTACAGGCAGTGGGGCTGCCCAGGGTGCTCCCAGGCAGTTCACAGGGCTGCTGAGAGGATGGGGAGCTCCATGCATTTCTCCATGGTCTTTAACAGAATGGAAAATAAACTCTTATGCATTTCTTATTGCAGAATCATCAATGTTAGATGGGACCTCTGAAGACTGTCTAGTCCAACCCCCCTGCCAAGGCAGGGTCACCTAGAGCAGGTTACACAGGAACACTTCCAGGCAGGTTTTGAATGTCTCTATACAAGGGGACTCCACAACCTCCCTGGACAACCTATCCAGTGCTTTGCCAGCTTCAATGTAAAGAATTTCTTTCTTATGGTCTGTATTAGCTGCAAAGCACTACACAGGTGATGTGATTATAAAATCACAATATAAATGCACGTTGCCAGATGTTGGATTATTTTATTTTATTTTTTTTGCATCTGTGCAAAACTATATTTCCAAACATAAAAGTTTTGTTTTTAAATTACATCAATAGGAAAGAAGCATATTTCCAGCTTCATGAAGGGTGAGGAACGGTATAGGAAATAAAAAACTTGGGTGAAATACTATGATTCTAGTGTGCTTGCTGCTGAACTATTGTTTTGTGATTTTGGCCACTGCAGCATAAAAACTTTGCAATACTTCAAAACGGGGATAAGGAAACCAATTCTATTACTACTGAGAAATGAACTATGATATGAATGTAGGCTTAAAAAACCCCATAAATCTACAGCAACCTAGAATTAGGGAGAGTGAGGGGGAAGTTTAAAATCTAAATAGTACAGAGTATGTCAAGCCAAGTTATTATTTCCAGCCATGTACAGATAATAAAGCAAAGGAAATAAAATTGGAAATTAAAAAGTTAAATAAAAAAGGCATTTGGAGGAGATGTGAGGAAACCCTCTTTTATTCAAAACAGCATAAACGTGTGAAGTGGCCTACCAGGCAACACTGTTGAACTTAAACACTAGGGCCATTCAAGACACTATAAGGTAGTGCCTCAGAGGGATCATGGTATTGAAAATGTAATGAGGTGTAACTTATCCCCAGAGATCTCTGATCTTATATTATATATGAAAGCTATTCTTGCAAAACAGTAGCTGAGCCTGCATGCAGTCTTGGAGGAGCATGCAAGGCAAACCCACACTCTCTGTTTTCTTGTTTTTCTGTGGGTTTATTGTGGGATTTTTTGCTTGGTTGGTTTTGGGTGTTTGTTTGTTTGTTTCTTTGTTTTTTACCACTACCTATTTGTATCCTCAGACTGCCAGTGTTGCAGGGAAACTGCATGCGTATTTTGTCTTTGGTGCAGCCTCATGTACAGTGTTGGCAGCAGGTCCAACAGGTTAAGAATAGATGAAATCTTAAAAGGGAAGGTTCAAGCAATTCACATCTACATCTTTCTGAACATGCTGCTGCTGGGGTTGGAGGCAGGGTTTTGTGCAAAGAAAAATTCTGATCTGTTGAAATGTAAATAAAAGTCAGAGATGTGATGTTAAAACACTGTTCTTATTAATGTGGCCTCCTGTGATTTCAATGCTGATTTTCGTTACGCTCAAACATGGTGAAAAAAGTGTAGCCTGTTTAGCTT